CCAATTATCATTTATCAATCAGTGATCAAATCTACTTTCACCAGATAATATGGAAAAGGAGGAGTAATTAACGAATCTAATCTAAATTAAATTAAGGATAACAAAAAAAAAAAAACAACGTTTATTATAATTAATATTTTAGAAATTTTTTATAAAAATATTAAAATATTTAAAATAAATTAAAATATCAAAAAAGTTAAAATCTTCAATTTAGTCCCTCATTATTATATAAACTTTTGATTTGATTCTTAAAGTTTTTAAATCTAGTTCTAAGTTGATCATTTATTAAAAAACAATTAATATGTCTATTGCTTAATCGTAAAAAGCTATTGTTTGATAGTCATGACACATTAATTATTTTTTAACAAATGGACAAACTTGGACCTAAATTTTAAAAATTTAAAGATCAAATTATTGATTTTTGTAGTTTATAAACCAATTCAGAAATCTATACAATAATTAAGGGACCATGTTGGGATTAAACCTAAAAAAATTTATTAAAAATATTTATATAATTTTGTAAAAAGTTCTAAATTTTTAAATCACACAAAGTATTCAATTTCGTCTTTCTTATAAAATTATTACCATACCTCTTTAGCGTTAGGATCCGCCGGCGCTGTGTACCGATTCCCCTGGCTGTTAATGGTGGGGTTGGCGCTACCGCCGATTGCGTACATCTCCCACGCCGTGAAATCATTGTTCACTATGTGTATGTACCCGTGCCTGCAGCGCGGCATCCGCTGCACCAGCCCCTCGCCGAAGTGATTGAACGCGATGGTCACCTGCATCCCGGAATCCGGCAAGTACCTGTCGTCATGCCCCAGGAGCATCACCTCGTTGTGATGTGAGAAATAGCTGTTGCTTATGGTGATTCCGGTGGACCCCATTATGGCATCAATGAGTCCGTCCGTACAGTAACTCAGGGAGCAATGATCAATCCAAATTTTCTGCGCCCCGAAGATGGAAATTCCGTCGCCGTCCGATCTTCCCCGCCACCCCACATGGGTGGGGGACGAGGCAATGTTAGTGTTGCCCGAGGGCTTGCAGTGGTGAACGTGTATGTTGTGGATAATGATGTGGGACACATATTGAAGCGTCAAACAACCATTCCCTGTGATGTGGACGTTAGCGCCACGACCGTCAAGGGTCTTGTAACTGTTGAAGATGAGCTCGTGCTTCAGCTTTATGACCATGTTAGTGCTGAAAAT